CCAGTGCATGGCCGGTGCTTTCTGGCTGCCCCAGCAGGTCCTGCTGCTGCCTGGCCAACCCTCTGACCCCCCATTTTTGACTGCCATGGGGTGCAGAGCATTCTGAGCTGTGTGGGATGTGGTACCGCATCCAGGCTGGTTCTTACCCGAGATCTCCATATCATCCAGGCTGGGCTGCAGGGGTGCCAAGTCTGGCTGTATCATGTCAGCATTCCCAACGTAGGCTGGAAGAGGGCAGAGCCACAATGCTTGGGCCCAGCCACTGCACCCCCAGGACCCCCCTGCTCAGGGTTCCTCCCACCACTGCCCTCACACCTGCCTGGCTGCCACCCCTCTGTGACACCCCAGAGTCACCCCACATTGCTGCACCCTGCCCCACAACCCTGCAGAGACCTGGGGCTATCTCGTCCCCACCACCCTGTCCACCAGCAACTCTGGGACCTCATCCAGCACCCAAGAACCCCAGAGAATGGCTGATCCTTGGTGCAGGACCTGCCTGGTGTTGCAGGAGCTTCAGGGACCTGGCCAGGCAGGACAGCAAAGAGAGGCCATGGAAGGCAGGACCTGCCCACTGCTCACCCAGGCCTGGCAGCCTTGCACTGGGGTCTGGTGCAAGGTCCTTCACAAGGCTAGTGCTCCCTGAGCAGCTCAGCCCATCCCACCCAGGACAGCCCAGGCTGGTCTCTAGAGAGCCACCATAGAAGGGGATGCTCCTGCCCTGGGTGGGAGCATCATCTCCTCCTGCCCTGGCAGGAGGGATGCCAAGGGATCTCATCTGCCCAAAGGACACAGGCAGCAGCTCTCAGGGGCTAAGCCAAAATGCACCAAGGTGCAATAGGGCATACTGCCCACCTGGACCTCCTCCTCCACCTCCAGCAAGAGCACGATCTGGGGCACCTACCATCCTCAGGGAGTGCCTGGTGGATGCTGGGTGTCTGTGTCATGGTGAAGAGGGTGTCAGAGATGTCTGAGAGGAAGGTGTCCAAGTCGAAGTGCTGCCTACCCCCCGGCTCCTCTTCTTCATCCCCAAGCAGCATGGGCACCACATTGCAGAAGAGCTGGTTGCACCATTTCTCTGTTGGCCTCCAGACATCCTCATCCTGCATGGGATGGAGCAAAGGAGCCATGTGGGCACCTCTTGTGGGTAAGGTCCATGCCTGGCTCCCCAGCTGCTCTCCCTGGCAGCTGCCATGCTCCCTGCAGCATTTATCACTCCAAAGCTTCACACCTGGCATGTTGGTGCTTCCAGAAGGGTGAATCCAGAATCCCAAATTGCTTGGCATCCCATCCATTTTGGCTTGTCACACCCTGAGGCTTTCATCTGCCCTTCTTCTCAGGCTGCCCAGCACAGGGGTCCACATTGTGTCCCCCTTCCCCCCCTCCTTCCCCAGCAGACTCACCTGTTTTGGGCCAGAGAGCTCTTCCTCCCGGGTGGACTTTCGGAGCTGGAAGGAGAAGACAGCCCATGTCAGTCCTCACCCAGGGCAGGCACAGTGGTGGGCAGAACCAGGAGTAGGGCAGAGGGGGGCAGTGCTCAGGACAGGGGGGTCCCTGGGGGTCTCAGTGTGGCCACCATAAGTTCACATCTGCCTTTACTCCACAGAGTCTGGGCTGAGCAGCCACCAGAGCGGTGGGACTGGAGGTGTGTGGTGGTGTGGGGCTGCCACCCCCCTGCCTCCCCATGGCACCCCTGGCCTTAATCGGGCTGTAGTGAGTGGCTGGGGAGGAGGCTGGACCATGCTCCACCCTCCCACTGATGGCACTGCCACGGGACTGGGAGCAGCATGGGCAGAGACACTCACCCGCTTCTTGTAGTAGATCCTCCACTTGTGGTACTCCCTCATCACCACCTCGATGCGGCGCTTCCAGTAGTTGCCCTCCAGCACGACAGCCTGGGGAGGCAGGACAGGGGGTCATGGCTGAACCCCCCAGCTCCAGCACCCCCCAGCCAGGACTGATTTCCTTGTGCCACATCAGAAACACCTTTCCCAGCAAGGAAAGGAAAGATTTCCCAGATGAAATACAATGATCTCTGCCTGCTGCGTGTCCCCAGCTCCTACCTGTACCACCCAGACCTTCTCCTGGCCCAGAGAGCTGTGAGGGACCATGACCTACCTCTGGTTTCCGGTGCTCCTAAGCCTCTGATCCCTCCAGTGGGGTGATGAAGCCACACACAGGGTTCTTCCTCCTCTCCACATCTGCGCAGGAGAAAACACAGCTGGCTTTACCCCTGGCTCCATCCCTGGCCAGGGGAGGGTGCCTGCATACCCATACATCACTGCCCCGGTGCCAGCCCCATCCCAGCCAGCATCGCCTGGCACTCGGCAGCTGGAGCAGGTCTGGGCCCATACTCACACTGGATGTACCATGCTCTCCAGATAGCATTGTTGAGACGAATTTTGTCCCGGCAAAGCAGCCGCAGCCCCTTGAAGTTCTTCCACTTTGGAGACACCAGCTTCCCACTAAAACACCAAGCAAAGGAGAGGCTGATTCCACCATCCCAGAGGCCTCCCAGTTTGGGGTCTCCTGAGAGGTCAGTGCCTCGAGAGATGCCCAGGGCCACCAGCCTGGTGGCAACTCTGGAGCCGGTGCAGCCGTGTGGCTCTGCTGCAGGCTGCTTGGGAGCACTCACAGGAGCACCCTGAGCTCCCCTTCACCCTGAGAGCAGCACAGACCTAAACCGTGAGCTTCACAAACCGACACGAGGCTTCTTGAGCCCCTGGAATTAAAACACAGCACATGGAGGAACCGATTCATTGAGGCTTGAACCCCAGCTTTGAGGAGGGACCCCTCTGTCCCCGACCAGGACAGCTGCATCCTGGCCCTGGGGATGGGAAGGGAAGCCTCCCGCCCAGGCAAGATGCCCGGGGACGTGTTGCTGTGGTTCTTGCCTCATCACAGCCTTTGGGCAGCTATTTCTGACCCTCCTTTTAATGCCAGGCAAGGCTTGGAAATGCTGCCTTCAGCTGGGGGCAGGCACAGGCAGTGGGGCAGGCAGGGGCAGCCACCTGCGTGGTTCTGGGAAAGCAGGACCACAAGCTGGAGGACATTAAGGACATTAAGGGACACTTGCCTGTGCCCCAGGATGGGCAGAGAGTGGGACCAGCCCTGCCCTCAGCCTAGCACTGCCCTAGGCTCTTCTCCACATCCATCCCTGTAAACCTGCCGAGCTGGGCTCCCCACTTCCCATTCCCCAGCTCCCAGAGGTGGCCGTGCTTGTTCTGCAGCTCGTCGTGGTGGCGGTGATGTCCCTAATGGGGTCTGCAGTGCAGGCAGCCTCATTTACTAATTGTCTTGTTTTCTTCCAGCCGAGGGACGACACCCTCGTGTGCACCCACTAGGGAGGTCCTGAGGGTTCTGCTGCCCCAGGAGATCTGCAGGGGAGGTTGGGGTCCCTCTGCCTTACTTTGAGGTCCTTGAGAGCCCAGTGGCTGCCCTGGCTATCCCACCCACCCGGGCGTGGCCTTGGGGTAATGCCAGCTGCATGGATGGGCCCTTTGAGAGCAGCCTGGAGGCTGCATGATGTCCCTCCCTGGGAAGCCCATGTCCATCCCCAGCCAAGAGTTTATCCCTTAAAGATCTTGGTGCTGCTTTGGGCTTCACTTATCCTCAGCACATGCAGGGAGGAGGAAAGATAAAGGCTGGGTGGGGTGTAGGGGTGCTATATCCCCCCGTTGCCATCATCTCTTTGGGTGCATCTGGAGGTGCCATTGGGCCATGTCCCCAGGGAGGTGCTGGGGGTGGGAGTAGTGCCCAGCTAATGCTTTAAGAAGCCCCACACTTGTTCATTCAAGCTTGTGAAACCTTCAATCCCCCTCAAACAAAGGCTCTGGCTGATTCTGCCTCCTGCTGCATGGCACGGCACGGCACGGCACGGCACAGCACGGCATGGCAGGTGGGGCTCCCTCCCTGAGCAGCTGTGCCAGGGCAAGGAGCCCGGCTGGGAGCTTGGTGCAGCCCAGCAGGTGGGTGGCTCGGTGCAGACAGGGTCCTGTCCCCCAGTGCAGCC